TTATGATGATTTAATGAACATCAAAATAAGTAATACTTTAAACATGATGAATCTAAAAATGCTAGCAATAAAAAAGAGTCTAAGCACGTGAAGATCCATCATGTTCCAAAACGAACCATATCTGAGATGTGCTAACTCTTTTGATCATCACTCACCAAAGGGTTCTAAAATAATTATGTTATTGTTTGGGTTTAATGCTGTGAAGTTTACCCTCACTCTCTCAAATACGATTCCTCGTATGGCATGAACCTATCTAATTTTGATTTTGTGTAATTTAATAATTTCCTGGGCCGTTGTCACGATCCAATGAAAGCCTGATTGATGTTGGCTGAGTTGAGAACCACATATACAATAACTAACTAATAATCCTCTAAATTTTTGGAAATCAAGAGTATATAATAAATAGAGGTAATCATCCATATATTGTTAATGTAAAATTTTTTATATTAGCAATCAATTATATCTTTTAAATTATTTTATTTTATTTTTATTTTATTAAATAAGCAACCACTATTAACATTCAATATAAATTTTTTTTACACCGATAGTGTATAGGTGATTACTTGTAATAAATAAATGTTTTTATGAGAATCTATCTTAAGGGATAGTAAGCTGGGTGGTTTGAAACTCTGAATAGAGCATGCACATGCCATGTTTCCTTTCATATGTTCATCCTTCTTGAATACGCACCAACTCTGACTTTGAATTGCTTCCCTTTTGTCGTAAAAACATTTTAAGGTTTGATTTCGTGGTCAATGACAGACCAATTACGATCATACACAGCTCCCAATTCCAGAAGACCCATATTTATTATTTGCTTTTGAAAATGAATCAACAATGTTAGACCCAACATTGTAGGTGAAAGCAACGTTAAAGGAAGATAGCAAGCTGCCATAGGCCACACAATATAGATTTCAAATTCTGGGAAATTCTAGCAGCAAAATCCTCTAATAATTGATTAACTTCAATTAAATGATGTTAGGATACAGTCAGTGTCGCGTCACATAAAAGGAGACCCATGAAAGTGAACTCATAAGAAATTCAGAAATGGCGAAACACAGTGAAGTGGGGTCCTATGATATACGTATATTACGTGGCAAGTTTTGCCAGCAATATTTTAAATTTAAGTAAAATTAAATGTGTATATATAGGTTGGTAACAAGCCAGCATTTGCTAAAATTCTTGCATGCTTACAACGCAAACTTGATTAGTTGATTTGCCAAGACAACCAAGCAACGAGGTACATTTGCCATGTGCAGGTTAAGCAACATTGAATATACGTTTTTGACTAGAATCACATAAAAGAGATTTTGTTCGTTGTACACACGAAAAGAAAAAAAAAAAAGAAAAGACATTATTGTTTCAGCGAAAAGAAAAGGAAACAATCCAGAAATTTTGTTGTATTATTGCAACTTGCAACACCGTAGGAAATTGGGCATTGTGTTGTCAAATTTTATTGTTGTGTCACATTCATTTGTCAATTAAAGTTTGTAGTGATTTTTGTTGGGTACCGGTGAAAAGAAAACTTATACCGCGGAAGCATATACACGAGAAGAAAAAAAATAGAGAAACAAACTCAGAAATTAACGTGGTTCGACACTTCTTGCCTTCATTCACAAACACACTCAATAAATTAATTTTATCACTCCACTTGCAATTTTTATAAGGATAAAATTGCAAACCCTCTCTTGACAATTTTTGAATGAAAAAATTGTAAACCCTCTCACACAATTTTTGCACGAAAAAATTGTAAACCTTCTCTTGACACACAACTACCCAAGTCCTCAATACATCCAAGAACTAGTGTTGTTGTAGTGAGTAGACCCAAATTATCACCCATTATTTATAGTAGTAGTCTACAACTTTCATTCTTCAAAATTACCTAATGTAGGATTTTGGAGGATACCCACACACTTTAGGCACAACAATTTCTAGTGATGACAATAATATTTTGAATGAAATAAAATTGCTTACAAACAAAGAAAATGGCATAAGTTAAAAATAAAAAGGGACATAAGCAAGTGTTGTATAACTCTAAATTGTGGGCGTTTTAGACAAAGTACCAACATTAAAATCAGTTTCACAAGAAGACCAAATAATTTTCCAACATATTGTAGAACTTGAGTTACGTATCTTCATAAATTACAACATTATAACAGACTTCGCATAGTCTCACGGCCATTGATGAATGATGACCAAAGTAAGGGCATGTCCAAGATTAAATTAGGTAAAAAAAGTTTTTCATAAACATAATTCATACAATATTCTAAAATTGATAATAAAAATTAATTCACACTTATTATTTCCACAAGCCAAACTAGGTAATTGAATTTGAAAGTAAGTGTTTGAAATTAAAGTCTTATATTGATGCAGTGAAGAGTGAAGTGGGTTACGAGAAAGTTAAAATGAATATATATATAAAAAAAAAGAGGTAGATAAATATAAATTGTTACAATAAACCCGATTAAACGAAGAAAAAAAACACAACAACAATAAAATATCTAAGAAAAGTCCAACTAAAAAAAAGAAAGAAAGACTTATATAGCGTCACGTGTTTATTCAAGCAATGTCATTTTTAGAAATTTTGATACCTTAGAACTTTACATTTTAGTCTCACTTTAATAAAATTCAGTAATTTTCATTTCATTCTTTTTATTTTTATTTTTGATTTGAAAATTTGTTAATTAAAGTTAATAATTAAGAATTTCAAATCTCATTCTATTGTAATTCATTCAATAATTAATATCAAATTGAATCTAAAATAATTTAAGAACTTCTCTAGACAATAAAAGAATTATAAGTATTATTGATAATTTTCTATAATATTCAATTTAGGAAGGAAAAAAGTCAAGACACTCATATCAAGTTAAATAAATATTTATTTAATTAGTTATTTTTAAAATTTTCAACTATTGAGATTCAAATAAAATTTTTAAAGTAATTTCATATTTTTAATTTTGTTAAAATAATATTGGAATATAAGAAAATATATTAATTTAATATGTATACAAATTGATCAAAACTAAAAGAATAAAATTTTATTTTATAAAAACCAAAATAAATAATCTCTAATTGAATGTGTGATTCATCAGTCATCACTATCCATTAATTTCATCAGTGATTTTTTTATGTATTATATTATTTTTATGAAAATTAATCTCTGTTCATTTCAATGCCAATTTATTTGTTTTCAAAACAAATACAGACTATTTTTTTGATAATCTACAATAATATTTATTCATATATACGTATTTTTGAAATACATAGTCTTCCTAACCAATACCTGTGATTAATATACTAAAATTTTAAAAATATATAATTAAATTTATATATATATAAAATATAAAAAAAATATAAAAAAAAAGGAGTTTGGGTGGGGGCCTACATCGACTGCCTTGTTGGCCTTGTGGTTACCACGACCTTGTATTCAAGTTATTCACGCATTCATTTTTCACGTTCAAACAAAAGCCATTTCGGTAGTTTCTATTTTTCACATTCTTTATACATAAATTTGAACTTGTGGTGAAACCAAACATATACTTAATGTGTGTTTGAAACTCAGTAGAGTTTAATGTAAATAACGTCAACTCATCGTGTCTCTATTTCCTAAGTTTGATGCATTGGAAAGGGGATTCTTTCTTTAGAAGACTAGAAACAGATTTCCTAACACAGCGCTTGGGAATTTGAAAAATAAAGTTGCACATAATTTCAAATTGAGATAAGCGAAAGAAATATAATATAAATAAGAGATGTACAAGTTGAAATTGCATTATACAATTTGGATAGAGTAATAATCTGAAGTTTTATTCCACAACAAGAAGACCAACCTCTCTCCCTAGTCCCCACTATGTTAGACTTGGTTTCAGTCTTGTTAATGAAATTCAACTGAGCTATAGTATTCAGAAACATATAATATAACTACTTTTCATCCCAATGTATTGTAAAACTTTTGGTTCGATATTTTAACACTATATCATCAATCAGTGGAGAACCTTCAAGAACAAACTTATTTTCAGTGTCAAATTAATTTCAATTATCTTCCTTGTGGCTTTTTGATACCTTAGATACAAATCCGTTCATCAGTAAGTCAACTAGTCCGTTCATTATAGCTCACTAATAAAAATTTATACACGATTTTCTCTCTGATATATACAGACTAAAAATGTTTTTGAAAGTTTTTTTTTTTTGTTAAAAGTAGTAAAAAAATCTGTTAAAAACTCTATATCTAAACAGATTCAAAGTCACATTAAGTGCAAATAAGCAAAAGATGAGGGTAATAGAATTGTGATACAGTCATTGCAGAAACATGATTAAAATTGATATTCATTTTATCAGTTGAAGTTGATACAGTCCAGCTAGGGAGGGGGGACATTGCCATCTTGTCAATAAAGCTAAAATATCTTAGTTGAGATTGTGACTGTCTTACCTCACTAAGCAAAAACTAATGCGCGCGCATGTTTCTTCACATGGCCATTCTAAGGAAAATAATTAGTCACCACTCAACTCCACAGAGTTAATTAAGCTAACCAGAGGAACAAGACTAGTCAATGTAACCATGTGCTTGGAACTTCTCACAGTTTTCTCCTTTATTTCACAACAACGAAGGGGAGAGAAAAAAATAGGATTAGACAATCATAACCAAAAGGGAAGCTAAATACAAAGCTTACAACTTTTGAACCGAAAGCAAAGTTCAACAAAAAACAATAACCAGAGTCATACAACTCATATAGTCATATCCATAATTCGCACCATTTGTTGGATGGTACTTCTGTCTCAGTTCAATAAAGTAGAATTGTCAACAGTAAAAAAAGAAAAAATCCCTCAGAGCTATGATAATCATAAAGTTGTGAAAATGAAATTTGCGTAACATGAGTAGAACTACCGGACAAACTACCAAAAACGACGACAAAACAACATAAATAAACATGCTATATTGCTATAAAAGAATCCATCCACATACATAAGCGGCCCCTACTTTCATGTGTTTTTGGCCTTTGCTTAGTTCAATTCATAAGCTAGGCTTAGTAATCGATTAGCACAACAAGGACTAGGATAGACAGATACTGGTATTAGATGCCACATATAGTAATCCAGCCTCTTCAACTAGGACAGGAGTTGATTTAATACTTTCAATATCGATTTATGTTAGTGTTGAAATGATATTTAGAACATGAAATAGTTTTTATTGTAGATTTTAAAAACACTGCGAATGTCATATCTATGGAAGAAAGAAAAAAATACCACATATGGTTAAGTTAATTCATGTGGTTGATTAGATGCTGATGTGTGTTGACATTATTAATTTGATATTAAATGCAAAGAGTAATGGCCCCTCCGACCACTCTCGTCTTATTTCCACATCCCCCATGTCCCTTAGAACATGGAGGAAATTATGGCACTCTTCCCTACTTCAATTCCCATTCTCTCTCTCTCTCTTATATCTCAAACACCATAAAAGCCCTCGTTGAACAACAGACACTTACTAGTTCTTGAAGCAATAACATAAAGTAAATAAACCAAGACTGGCTCTTTCATCATTGCACTCGAATCCAACCAAAACAAAACCACCCGTGCCTTCCATTATCCAAAGATTCTCTTCTCAGCTCCTTATAAGTTACAAGCATTCAAAGTGGGATAACATAACAATTAAGAAACCACTTATGGAAGTTGAATCGGTCAAGTGTGAGTGCTGTGGCCTCAAAGAAGATTGCACCCAAGAATATATCCGCGACGTGAAGGCTAAATTTGATGGAAAATGGTTATGTGGGTTGTGCTCAGAAGCAGTGAGAGACGAAGTTAACAGAGGAAAAAGGCCTTTTCCCATGGAAGAAGCTGTGAAGGCTCACATGTCATTCTGTGGTAAGATCAAATCCAACCCTGCGGTTAGAGTGGCTGATGGAATGAGGCAGATGCTGAGGAGAAGGTCAACTGACTTGTCTTCATCGTCAAACAAGTACAGTGCCAGGTCAAACAATTCCTCCACTTTCTCATTGCACTGATCAAAATGAACAACAAGCTGCGAACAGAACACGCCATCACTCTGTTTCTGTTTCGTTCGAAAGCTGAAATAAACTTTTTACATAGCTTTTTGTCTCTAAGTCTTGTACAGAGAGTGCTGCTGTTTCACATGAACAGTCTTTTACTTCTTTGTTTTCCTTTCAACAAAAACTATTTAATCCCAACTTTATGATGCATGAGATAGATCAGGAGAATCGTTACCTTCAAATATCTACTCATTTTCTTAATGGCTAATCTTATCAGATGACTAAACACCTCTAGTGAGATTTTCATTTCCAACTTTTTCTATTCACAGTACTCGAACCCGAAATCTAAAGAAATTTGACTCAATTCTACTCGGACTAACCATTTGTTATACTAGTTAACCTTTATCTTCTAAGACTTCTCCTTGTTCATACAATACAACGCTTTCTGCTTCAGATGAAAATTGTGTATCAATTTTAATGCTTCTGATTAAATGACTAGTCCCTTTGATAATTAAAGAAGTTGTCAATCTGTGGGTTATTTTTTACTTTGCTTTCAATTCTTTGTTTTCCTTCTAAGAAAGGGTATCATATTAATAGCCTCGAAATGATTCAATGAAAACAAAATTTTGGATCCGTTTTTCAAACCAAGAGATCACAAAGAAGCTAACGTACTTTGCAAGTCAAGAGATATTTGATGTTGTTAGATTTAATGTGCAGTTTTTGAGCACTTTTATCCATCTTGGTTTTACTAAATAATCTGGGACCACACTTTTAGTGCGACTGGTATTAGATTTCACTCAATAATATTCAATCAAAAAATTGTATAAAAGTTTGACGCCATCATTACTTGTCCATAAACTTATCAAAGCATTTGATTAATATATTAATAAAGAAACTCCTATGGTCAACTTCTCCCTCCATAATAGTTATATTTTTTTTTCCTTATAAATATAGGTTACACAGTATATTAAAACTGGCAGTTAAAAAACTAATTTTCTTGCAGAATATAATTTTTATTAACCAATTATTACTTTTAACATCACAGAAATTGATCGTAAAAAATAGCTCTTGTATTTTAAAGCAAACCTTATGATCATTGCACAAATAGGTTTGATCAGCGTAATACTAATACTGAGTAAACAAAATGTGAATTTTATCACTGCCCGGTGACCATAATGGAGAATGTCATCATCACAACTTGCCTTAAATAATGATTGTATGCCATTTTTCCTTTTTATCTTACATGTGGCTGACGATGGTTAACTTGAGTTTGAGGCATAGAATCTCCATAAAGCTCCATTAAACTAACAAAAATCAAGTGGCGAAGGCACTAATTCCATTTGTTGCAGCTAAAGATGGTTTATGAATTGTGCTCGATAAGGTACATAATTAGCATTAACATTTGTCTGAATTATGAAACCATGATATGCTGAATCGTAGCCGCCACTAGGGAACCGCGCATGGATTCCAATTCTTCAAGTGCATTGATTTTTCCGTAAGCAATAAGGTATAAACTATGAGGCCTGCCCTTCGAAGCAAAATTGTTTATGACAATGGAACACGAGTGATAGTGTGATACTGCTACCATTGGAAACTTTTTCAACATGCACATCTCTCTGTTTATGTAATCATCAATCAGGTTTGACATTTTTTTTCTCTTCTTTAGTCATGATTGATTTTAATATTTTTCTTTTTCAAAAGAAAATCCATAAATAATACAAAAATTTTAATTAGACAACCAACCCCACATGCTTGGAAAATTGGCGGCTTCTGTGTAATAATACGAACTTGCTTTGTATGGATGCTGTTTGTGATGTTGCTTCATTGCAGCATTACAAAGTATCCCTATAGAAACGGATCTCTCCATTGAAATTTAGTATGAGAAGGTAATCCATCATTGTTTCATCTTATCCATAATGACATTGCTCAAGATGGGCATGTCATTTGTAAAATTACAAGGTCAAATTTTTAACTATCAACATCCAAATGAATCTATGGTTCAACAAAACTAAAAATAATTATCAACTTTATAGTAGTGAACCTTTTCCTAACTCAAGTACATGCCATAACATCTATAGGACAGGCCCAGAAATAAGGATGTACCAGTGTATTCAATTACTAATAGAAATAATTTATCAATAGTCTCTACAAGAACGAATTGCACCATTATTATGGTGAAACCTAATCCTATCCCTCATAACAATCTCTACTTGGTACACCTTTGAGACCAATATCATAAAAGAATGACGCTCCTCACTTTAATTATTGTTATTGCACAAGTAGTACTACTATTAGTGTAGTAACTTAAAAACTACTTCAATTATTTCTATTCTTCCTACTCTTGCCTCAAAATGTGATCCAAAAGGTAAGGGATTAGGAACAACAACAAAATTGTTAACATGAAGAATTAACAACCTCTGTTCAATGGAACTAACCAATCAAATATGTTGTTGTTTATCTTGTGAGGGAAGTGAATGTTGTACACGAATCACTTTTTGAGAGTGGAAAATTATTCAAGCATTTAAGGAAGAAGGAACAGAAACTGGAAGGCAATCAAGAAAGAAAAAAAAAATCAATCCGATTTTGTTAATGAAAAAAATACATAATTTAATTTTTATTTTTTACAGTAAAACCCAAATTCTAAATTCAATCATTAATAAAGGGTAGCGTGAGTGCAAAAAACTAGTAATTCTGCTTCAGATGACTAGTTCAAGAAGGCTAGAAGAAAATTAAGGAAATAGAAAATCAGAACGATAAGTTTTTGTTGGGTAAAATACGTAATTCAGTGAGAACTTTTCTTTTTTCAATGAAAACAGGTTAATGAATTTCATAAGGGTAAGGCAAGTGAAAAAAGCCAGAGATCCTGTTTTAGAAGGTAAGTTAGGATATGTTTAGATAAATTATTTTGGAAGCATTTTTTAGAAGAGAATAAAAAAAAGTTTTTATAAGTTAAAATTAATTTTATGTACAAACTAATTTGTAAATTTTTAGAAATTTGAGAAGTTTTATAAATTAATTTATACACATTAATTTTAATTTTAATTTTATTCTCTTAAAAGTGATTTTAGATAAATTTATCTAACCGCGCCTTACAATAAAAGATGAAGATATGTTATAGCACACGTGTTCATGAATATGATTTGAGGAAAGTTAAAAAATTTCTCACTCACATTTCTCTTCATGCCCTCATTGGTTAAAAGAATTTCAATTTTAATAAGTTTTATCAAATTAAAAAATGTTTAAAAATGTATTTCTAACATTTATCTTTTAAGATTTTATTCTCGATGCAACAGGAAATTTACTTTGGAGAACGATGCTACTTTACTAACACTGTTTGCTGCTAAGTTTATCAGAGTGCAACTCATTCTTACAACTAACATTATTACAAAAGCAAAGACCAATCCTGCTTTCCTACACCTCTAAACTTATGCTTTGTTGATGGAAGAAATAAAGGAGATGAAAGAGAATAAATGATAATTAATTTGATAAAAAAAATAAATAAATAATAGTATGAAATTTGTAGTTGTTTGATAAAATGAAATTAAGTAAAAAATATATATATTTTTTTTTTGATATTTTAAGACTTTTTATATAATTAGGGAGTGTATTAAATTGAGATTTATAAGACTTTTTTTAGTAAAAACAATCTTGTTAATTTAAAAAAAATTGTAAATTTTAAAAAAATTTGTAAATTTTTTTAAAAGACTATAGAAATGTAATGACTTTTAAAAGATATTTAAAATAATATTTTAATCAAGATTTTGTAATATAAATTTTAATAGATTTATATTTTAAGAATTTATAAGATTTTATTAGATTTTAAAGGATAATATATTTTTTTTAAAATACAATACAATTAATAAATAAAAAATAGCATAAAAGACAAGGTTTGAATAACGAAAATAAAATCAATAAATCTTTTAATATTTTAATAAACAACCTTCAATGTATTTATATTTTCTTATTCATACTATTGAATTTGAACAATATGTTCAAATTTAGATATTAATTAATTAATAGAATTGTCAAAATATATTTTTAATGTATATTTAAAATTTTGATATTTTAATATTAAATTTTATTAAACATAAATACTATTAAAATTTAATAATTTAATAATATAGTATTAAATAATTTTAAATATTTAATAATTAAAAATAAATATTAATAAATTATACATCAATATTTATAGATAAAAATGTAACAAAAAATATTGATAAAGAAAAAAAAGATAAGAGAAAAAATAAAAAAGAAGAAAAAATAAGAGAATAAACAAGAAAAAATAAATCATGCAGAATAATCCGTTAAAATCTCTATGTTTGTTAATATTAATAGATTTTTCAAGTAAAATAAATCTTAATTAAATATCATTAGATTTTAATATATTCCTAAAAAATTATAATTATCTTAATTAAATATTACTAGATTTTGTGTATTTTTTAAAAATTATAATTATCTTCATTAAATATGATATGACTTTATTACATTAAAAAAAATTGTAATTGAATACTAAAACAAGAAGAAGAAAAAATCATTAAATGAAAATTAAACTTCAACAAAATTTAAACAATAATCTTCAATACATAGTAGTATCATAATGCATGTCAGAGAAAATATTATTAACATTTATCTGGTTAAAATTTATTGAAATTAGAAAAAATATTCACATGACATTTGAAAGAAAAAAAATCAACTTTTAACAAATTTTATCACATTAAAAAATGCTTAACAATGTATTTCTAACATTTATCTTTTAAAATTTAATTCTCAATGCAACAGAAAAATTACTTTTGAAATCGATGCTACTTTACCAATACTGTTTGCTATTTAGTTCAACAAAATGCAGCTCATTTTTACAGCTAACCAACCTAATAGGTAACATATTACAGCAGCAAAAACCAACCCTGCATACCTACACCAATCAACTTAATTTGTATGCGTAGACAAAATAATTATTGATTTTATAATCAAATGATTTATGTTTAAATAATTTTATTATAAAATCTAGTTAATACTTAAATTCAGTGTACTTTCTTTTTTTGTTAAATAAATTTGTAGTCTCTCAACTTTTTAAGAATTTGATTTATTTTCTACAATATAAATTAGTCTTTAAAATTAACTTTTTTCTATTAAGTGAAGATGTATACTTATAAATTATGGCTGACTTGACTAATTTCCATGTGACTAGTAAATAAATGTCACATCACATAATACATGTAATTTTTTTTATTCGCTCATGATAAGATATTTTTTGAAAATAAAAAATAATATTAAAACAACTCTTCACCCATATAATCATAAACGAATAATAAAATTAAATATGTCATATAATTTGATATTTATTAAATAATCATGAGTATAAATAGTCAAAATCATAATTTATTGACAAATATCATCGTTTAATAAATAAGACTTAATTTCAATAACCAATTTATGTGACATAAAATTGAAAAAATAAATAACAAAAGAAAGTTTAAAAGAGACTAAAAATTAAATTCTTAAAAGATTGAGATCAGAACTTATTTAACTATTTTTTATCTAATACAAAAATCACCTAAAATTAAGTCAACTCAATCAATTTTAAATTTATAATCAATTCTTCAATATGAAACAAAGAAGTAACATCTACCTAAATTATTTTAACAGATAATCCAACACGATTTTAAAGAATTCAAAGTGAAATGGTACATGCCTAGGAATACAGTTCAATGCTAAGACTGGAAAATTTATGAAAAAAATTCAAAATTGTCTCACAATCAGATAAGATTTGTCAATTTAATTGGTGATTTCCAAGCCAAAGTGTTCTCTTATAATATCATTGGATGTGCTGCCAAAACCATTGGCTACCTTTTTCATTACTTCAAATTTCTTCGTCTCCTGTTCTATCTGTTTCATTCTGTGACTTATGACATCTGAGCCAGATGAGTTTTGACATGCTAATTGATTCTTCTCACTCTCTAGTTGCCGATACAAATTTTGTATATAGGTCTTTTGTGTTTGAAGTGTTTCTTCTGCCAACTTATATTCAAGCTCCTGTGATTTTTTAAGATTCTGGAGAACCTGATCAAGGTCTAGAAAATCATAAGATTTCAATCCAGTCTTAACATTTAAAAAGCTCTCATTGCCCGTAACACCATTGTCATGATCTGATGATAAACAAATATAAAATATTTAATATACTACTGGAAAGCACCCAATAGTTGAATGTTCAAGATCATAAAGACAAAAATGATAAATAGTCATTATATTTCTAAAATCTTATAGAAAACAGAGTATAAAAATAGAAAAATAGATAATAGGAGATGATATTTACCTGCGCAAGTTACAAGACTCCCATCCTCCTTCCAGATATCTTCAACATTAGTCCCATATTGAAGCTGATGTAAACTATCAAATTGGTCAGAAACATTTCCAATTCGCGAGACAAGCAAGATGATTTTTATATTTATTTTGGAAAAAAATATTTGAAAATACCTTTGAGATGACCAATTCAATACCACGCAGCAGTTCCTTTGCCTTGGATTTTTCTGAACCGCGCAACAGACAAGCACATAGATTCAAAATCTTCTTTAGAATTTCATCATCTAAATTAGCAGCTTTACATGTTTGTAGAAGATTATTAACATGAGAAATCATATCAGTCCTCTTATCACAGCGCCGGCAATGGTACTGGGAGTCTAGTCCAATACTTCCTCCAACTTTTCCAGCCAAGAAACTACGAAGAGCGCATTCCAAGTGAGCAACATGACCACAAATTCCCGCACCAATCTTCTCTTGGCACTTGATATAAGTATAGCCACCATACACAGAAGAAACAGTTTTATTACAAAGAATGCAACAACAGTGACGACAAAATCCAGATTCATTGCAGCAGATCTCACAAAACATTAGTGATGAGTTTTCAACTTCTTCAAACTCTAGACTAGGACACTTGCTATTCTTTGCTTGACATTTGACAACATTAGGGTCGGACTCTTCAAGTGATATCTGTTGAAGAGGTACAGCAGCTATAGGCAATGCATTGTCTGTCATGTAGAACAAAATAGGTAGTTAAAACTAAATACTATATTGCAGTATAATGTTAAGTCTCTCATTGACCATTGGTGGCAAAAATGGCTAACTATTACATTAATAAAATTCATATAACTACTCATTATCATATCTAGAACTTTATTTACTCTTCAGTGTTTTGTAACCAGATTTCACCTCTCAGATTAAGTAAATTATTATCTATATGTGCTAGTCATCATAATAGTATGTAATTGAAATTAAAATAATAAATATGAAGTCAAATTGCAACTCAACTCAGTAGACTAGAGAGCTTAATTATCAGCATGAATCCAAAGAAGAAAATGATAAAAAATAAATAAATAAATAAATAAAAACAAAGGCGTATTAAATGAAAAAGTAAAATAGAAAATGGTTAGGAATAAGCGAGAGCAAAGAGGAACCGTTGGAGCGTAGTGCGGGGATCTTCCAAGAGAAGGAAGCGAAGAAGGCATCAACATCGGCGTCAGGGAAGTTGTTTTTGATGTAACGTTCAACGGCGAGCTTGCTGGCGAAGATGTGTTGCATGCGGAGTGACTTAGAGGCAGACTCTGGATTCTCTTTCTTCTTCTCCTTCAACCGTTCAGGCAAGTACAGATACCGATCTTGAAAGTGGGTACGATTGGCGACGATTCTCCGTCCAGTTCTCCATCCCCAAATATCCCCTTTCTGAGGCCAATTTTCAGGCGCGTATGGATATCCCATGCCGGATTCCTCCGGCGCCACCGGCCTCAGATTCCATGAATCGTACTCGCTGTTACTCTCCTCCATCTCAAACCCTAGGCTTTAGGGTTTGCGTTCCATCTAACTAATACAGAGAAAGAGAAGCGATAGCTATCTATCGGAATAGCACTGTTGTTGTCAACGCATTGGACAATCGCGATGGAGACGAATGAAATGAAGGATCCCACTTTTACTTTTTATTTCATTGGTCACGCTTTGCAATGCAATTCTGTGCTATTTTATTTAAATAATAAAAAATTATAATTATAATAAATTATAAAACAAACACAATATACCATTTATTATTTTATAAATGTCTTTGGTATACACAGGTTAAACATGCTGTAAATGTGGGTAACAAAATAATTGTCTCCAAATTAGTCATAATAGGAGAAGAATTAATTATTTATATATTACTAGTATAAAACTTTTTTATACTAATAATTAATTATATCTTTTAATTATATTATACAATAATATGATATAATTAAAAAATATAGTTAATTGTAGTATAAAAAATTTTTACATTAATAATATATAAATATTAACTCGTAATAAAAAAACACGAGTCCTAAATAAAAGGAATACACATTGAAGCAGAAGCCACGTCATGGTGCCCTTGAAGTATTAGGGTAGGCCTTCTCGCCTTGTTAATAAGATTTAAAGTTAAATCCATTATTTTTCTCTTTTAGTCTTTAAATCGCAGAGTTGTAAGAGATAGCTAATTTCTTGAGGAATTGTTAAACCCGTGAGTACTTCATTCTGCCATTCCATGAGATTATGTCTTATTTTAATATCATTTTTTAAATAAAAAAAAATCAAAAAATCAAGTCATGAATTATCACAAAGTCTAAAAGTGCATTTATGTTTTAAAACGTGATTGATTTGGTAAAAATAATAATCGCTTTAGTGATTCATTGAATACTCATTTCTTCTTTAATTTGTTTCGTATTAAAATTTAAAACATCAAACAAACCAGAACAAAGTAAGTACACCCTAAATCACTGTAGTCTGTAAATAAATTATTCTTTCACATAATAATACTATATTACGTTTTTCAGTTAAATATGTATAAACATTGCAATGGTGGATGCTTAAAAAACTAAGTTGATGATTCAATATCAGCTAGCTTGCAGTACCTTTAATATATTTTACAAAGAAATCATGTAAATGAAATCCCAATTTACAAATATCCATACCCATTAGTTTGAAATACAAGTGTACATTTATTATAGATTTCCTTTAAACACACATTCTCTGATTAATTATAAATAAATAAATAAATAAAATTCAGTGATTTTCATACCTTGTTTAATAACTCTTTTCTGATTTTTTAATAACTAATGAGTTTATTGATAACATCTTCTTATACTCTTTTCTGATATTTTTAGTAACTAATGAGTTTATTGATAGCATTCTCTTATAGATTATAAATGTAATACAGTATTTGTAAAGGTTTAGTTAAATATAAAGAATATATCATATATTAAGAAATAATTTTTCAGCAGTTTGTAGTTTATTATAAACAAATTCATTTAAAATATTATGTTCGAGATATTATGTATATTTTTTGTTTAAATATAATTTAACTTTTACAAAATAAGTGTGTTTTACTTTAGATTCCTATAAAAAAAAATTATCTATTTAAAATTTAAAATTTTCATTTTAATTCTTATTATTATTTAATTTATTTTTAATTATTTATGTATTAATTATAAGTTATATGGTCATTCTAAGCAATACTTATGACTGTCTGTGATTTTATATGCATGTAAAACTTATAATTTTTTTTATGAATCATTAAAATAAGTATTATATATATATACTTTAAAATAGGCACTAAAGATTAAAAAAAAATAGTGACTTTAAATTTTAAAAAATGAAATAGAAGAAAAATATTTTACAAAGACAAAAATAAAAATTTATTCATTTTATAGGGATTAAAAATAATGTTTACAAATTTTATATAGATAAAATATAAAAAAAAATAAAAAATTGCTGAGATCAAAATCAAAATTTGTTCATTTTATAAAGACTAAAAACATATTTAAATATGTATTTTTTTTATCTAAATAAATTATTAAACACCAAAAAAAATTCAAGAAGTTATTATTCAAAATAAAATAAAACATATAAAATATTATATTTTTTTGAAATATTTTATTAAACATTTTCATATAGAATATATATTTTATACATTAATATTTAAAAAGAAGAAGAAAAAAAATCTAACTCTATAGCATCAAAGATATGAATTTTTTTATTTGTATAAAAAAATTATAATAATGAAAATAAGACTCAAATTTAAAATATTATGTATATTACTATCCCAACCTATTATCATTAAATTAATTCTAATTTTATATGAGGTTATTATTGAGCGAATAAAATATATTAAATATTATAGTTTGTTTTTACTCAAAATATCATATTAAAATAGTTTATTTAAAATTTCCATATACCCTACATATTTTATATTTATTAACATTTAAAATACGATAAATAAAAATAGTTAATCTTTTTCTTTTAATAAATAGTTAATTTAACTGGAAGTATGTATTACGAGTCTACTTTTATAGTATATAAGCATGATAATATTGTGAGTGATTTCATATTTATATGATTTATAAAAATTAAAAATCTTTATATAAAAATTTACTATCAATAATTATAAATAATGGTAGGTGTTATGTTTAATGTAATTATTTTAAAATTTAATAAATTTATCTTATGCGACAATTTGCAACTAAATAACTATTAAAAACTTTTTACTCTGTTAATATAAAAATAATTTGAATGTATAAACTTTGGAATAATATATAAACAAATGCAAATTATTTAGTTAATACAAACTTTAGTATTTGTAGTGTTGTTTAACTTTTCAAATTGTCACTAATATTTAACTTATGTAAGTATTAGTTGATTTTTAATATAACATCTTCTTTACATATAAATTAGAATAGATATATTAAATGAGATTATTTTGTACCAGTTATTTATACATAGTTAATATATTTAAAAATACTTATTTGCTAAAAAAAAAATTGACGTACTCACAACTTGTAAGTTGTTTCACTGTCTTCTTGATCGAATTAATTAAGCTTAATCATCAAAAGGGACACAATGATTTAAACTTAATAATATTCACTTTGAATTCATATAATAACATGTCACAGGTCAATTTCACCAATTCAATGAACAAAAAAAATGTAGGGCAATTGATAAAAAAAATCTAACTATAAAATATATTTAAAAAAATTATTTAAAAGCCAATTTTTTATTATTATTAACTATATATAATAATAAATAAATAAAAAAAGATAAAATGAAACGAGATTTACTGAAGTGATGTGTTTGTTGCAAAGGGAACCTCCTGGCTACTTCAAAAGTGTAGCTCTTCATGGATAGCCAACAATGGTTCTGCTACCTATTTTGCATAATCAAGAAACATTAGCAAAATTCAAATGATGCTATGACAAAAAAAAGGCATGATTTTGTTACACAAAATTAGGCATTTGTTACACAAAATTAGGCATTTGTGATGTGGTTCAAAAGTATTAAACTCTTAAGAATGAAGTTTATTACTTGATAGTCATAGCTATCTTATCATTTCTCAAAAAAATAGGCACATATCATACTTGATACTAAGAATAAAGTTCAAAATTAGGTATTTGTGATGTGGCTCAAAAATAGCAAAAAAAACTCAAATATCATTTCTCAACTTTTTATTTAACAACTTAATAAGACTTGCTTAAAGACATATATGACACTTTAAACAAATTTTGTATATGTAGATGTCATCGAGAATGATAAAAAAAATGATTATATAAAATGTCATGATTTTACTATTTATTCTTTGAAGTTCCAGTTTTAAAAGAAAAATACATATTGCTAATATAATTAATATTTTCAGAAGGATAAGATCCCATGCAATTATAAAATCACTACACAAAATTCATTCTTAGATGTCATGCGTGACTTGTTCATATTTAATTCTTGTCGATAATCATAATGCGTTCACTAATGTGTAATTTTATCAATTCTTAAAATAGATGACAAGGAGTATAAGGTTTATTTACGATCATAAAATCAAGCGGATAGAAATATTAATAAACATTTAACATTTGGGTGCAGTTATAACCAAAAAGAATTTGTTTTAATCCTATTGTACTAGACAATTTATGTATTTGGAAAAACTTCAAAAACGTGAGAAACCAATTAATTGGTTAAAAAACGTGGAAGCCTTGTTACATGGATCTAGCATTGGGAAACACTAAAATGTTTCAAACATACACAATATAAAAGTCGAGTTGTGGAACATACAATTTGCACATATCGACCATGACAGTATAAGGGAAGAATGGAGAATCGATTGATAAGAAATACAAATAATTCCAAGTTCTAACTAATGCCAGTATGCCACATAAAGTTGTCCTCCTGATGGGAGATTTTACACTCTGATTCTTCTGAATTGGTGAATTTGCAAGGTAATTGAGTTGGTGTATTCCATGAGATGAGGGAGGAGACCAAGCATGATAACACATACAAGAAGTATCCACAACAATAATCCCAAATCAACTGGAATCTGGTTGTAGCAGCCGAGACACATGAGGTGACCAAAAACAAAGTTATACACAATCAAACAAAATAATTAACCAAAGAACTTTGTAGTAGGTACTTTAGGCAGAAAAAAAAAAGGAGAATATGGTTCATTCCTCAAGAGCCTTTTTTTTTCTCTGCATTTTTATGACTTGATTGAGAACCACCAACTTACAAATAAACCAAATGCACTGTGACCATAATGAATCTATCTCAGCTTCCCAGTCCCAGTTCACAAACAAACCAAAATAGCATATTAGAAAGAAAAGGCAGAAAATTATGGAATAGAAGAATGGGAATTATAGGTGAAATTAGGGGAAATCGAAAATAGAAAGGGGGGTTTGAAGGAGGAGGCTCAGATAGAGGTATTGTCTGGCAAGAGAGTGGGAAAGAGAGTGTGGCTGCGACCACATCACAGAGTCACCTCGCCATCACACCACTCTTCCACACTCGATGTCTGCTCCAATTGCATAAAACATCGTCACTGCCTCCTTATAAACCCACAGGAGGAGGAAGAAGAAGAATAACATGCCAGCCAAGATGATGGAGCAAAAGAGAGAGGATTGTATGCGTATTTATGTGTGTCTGTAGACTGTAGAGGTAGGAACCAGGAAGAATCATCGGCAATAGCAGAACCATCAACCATGCTATGCCTCATTGCATTGCATGCAAAAGGAAACAGAGGCTCAGCGAAAGAGAAAAGACACTCTGTCGGTGGCTGCGTAACATAACAGTATAACACCACGCCACCACACCCTCTCCTCTCCTCACATTAACATCCATCACCGCCTCAACCATTTTCATATATTCACCATGGAGTTATTGTTCAGCCACTAGTATCGACAGGGTCTGAAATATTAATTTAGCCAACCTCATTTGACTATTTTATTCATCATTATTTCATCTTATGCATCGTGACATTGCTCAAGATGGACATGGCATTTGTAAAATAACGAGGTCAAATTTTCAACGAATGACACTATCAACATCCAAATGAATCTATGGTAATTTTCAACAAAACTATAAATAATGATCAACTTTATAGTAGTGAACCTTGGCCAAGCTCAAGTACATGCCGTAACATCTATAGAGCAAGCCCAGAAATGAGCTTGTGCCAGTGTATTCAATTACTAATAGAAATAATTTACCAATAGTCTCTACAAGAACAAATTCCACCATTAAAATGGTGAAACCTAGTCCTATCCCTCATAACAATCTCTATTTGGTAAGCCTTCGAGACCAATTTCATAAAAGAATGGCAGTCCTCACATACTCTCAGATTTTTAACTATACGAATGCATGCTTCTTTTCTCTCACTAATTAGCCCATAGCACAGTGCTAATTTTTCACTATGCCAGAGAACTATTTCTTTTTTCTCTTCCTCCTCTAAATCAACCAAAATGCCTGAAGTACTGGGTGTGTAGCCAACCAGCTTTAGTTGACTGACTACCACATCCAACTTTTTATATATTTCATCTGATTGTTTATGATATCTATCTGCCATCATAAACACGTGCACCTCATTGTTCATTTCAATCCTACTAAATGCCTTCTCCTTTGAGATACCTTTATGTCTCATTAATTTCCTAACCAACCCAACCTCATCCCATCTTCTTTCTTTAGCATAAATGTTTGACAAGACCACAAGGGCTCCATCATGATCAGGCTCTAACTCGAGAAGCTGTTTGGCAGCAAATTCCCCTAACTCAACCTCACCGTGATTTTGACAAGCAGACATAAGGGATCCCCAAATGATTACATTTGGCGGGAAAGGCATCGTCTCAACAAGCTCCAAAGCTTTTCTCAAGAGATTGGCTCTGCAATAAAGGTCCACCATGCAGCCATAGTGCTCACGTTGGGGAGAAATGCCATGCTCATTGATCATGGAGGAAAAGAAATTCTGGCCCTCCTCAACCAAACCTGCATGACTGCAAGCATAAAGGACACCTATAAACGTAACCCCATTGGGCTCAATATTTTGTTCTTTCATCCTGTGGAAGAGATCAATGGCACTATCAGCATCCCCATGCATGGCAAAGGCATTGATCATACTGGACCAAGATATCACATTTTTTCTAGGCATATTCTCAAATACCTCTCTCGCTCTGGCCAAGTTCCCACATTTGGCATACATATCAATCAAGGCATTGTTGACAGATAGAGCTCTCCCAAACCCATTTTTATCAACATACATATGAATCCATTTCGCTTGAACAAGTGCACCAACATGAGCACAAGCAGAAATGACACTCAGCATCGTGATCTGATCAGGCACTATTCCCTGCCGTTGCATTTCATTGAACAACCGAATGGCCTCATCAGGCTCATCACTTTCAGCATAACCAGATATCATAGCACTCCAACACACCAAGTCCTTCTCAACCATCTGATCAAATACAAAGCGTGCATCTTGAACCATTCCAAGTTTCGCATACCCAGAAAGCATGGCAGTAGAAACAATCAAATGTTTCCCCGGAAGCTGATCGTAGACTTCCCTAGCCAAATCCATAGCACCACAATTCGCATACATGTTAACAAGAGCAGTCTGTAAATGATAATCAACATAAAGCCCATTATCCTTGATGAACTCATGAATTGCTTTGCCATAGCTTAGATTTCCAGCATGCCCACAAGCAGAAAGCACGGTACAAAGGACAATAGCATCAGGCTCCGTCCCAGAAGTCTTCATTTCTTCATAAAGCTTTAAAACATGGTCATAAAGACCACTCTGGGAATACCCATCAATCATAATATTCCAGGTAACGACATCCCGGTGCGACATTTTATCAAACACCAAACGGGCATCAACAATGCGTCCACATGCAGCATACATTGAAATCAAGGAGGATTGAATAAACGGGTCGGAATGAAAACCCAACTTGAAAGCGAGGCCGTGAATCTCCAAGCCCATATTCAAGTTGGAAAGTTTGGTGACAGCCTTCAACAGTGGGGGGAAAGTGAACTTGTGGAGAGGGTAGGCGTTTATTCTGAGGTGGCGATAGAGGAAGAGGGCGTTGTGGGGAGTGGGACCGCGAGAGAAGTGACGGAGGAGTTGGGTGGAGAAATGGGTGTGAGGGTTTGGAATGTGGGAGAAGAGGGAGAGAGCGTAGTCCAATGCTGAAGGAGAAGGAGAAGGGAGGGTGCAGCAACAAAGAACGAGTTCCAAAAGAAGGGTTTTTGAATTCTCCACATTGGAACGGAGGATTTGAGCGTGGACTTGCTTCACATGCCTAAGCGATTTGCATGATGACACCAAACCCTTCTCACTGGGAACCAACCTCATGCTCATGGCCATGGCCATGGCCATGGCGCAGACTCAGCAAATCGTTTCAACAATTTGAATTATCTCTGTTTTCTTCGGGAGTGATGGTCGGAACGTAACATGGAACTCAACTAGGACTTCCAGAAACCTTTAGTATGGATAAACTTTTTTTATTTTTTATTTTTAAATCAAATAACTCATAATTTAATTCTATATGTAACATTAAAAGACAAATAAAAAGAATCAGAAGTATTGATTAATTTAATTAGTCACATTAAATTTATCAATAATGTGCATTATTTTTATAAAAGTACTATAACTTTAGTTTTTAAAATTATAGATGGTCATTTACTTTCTACCATTTTTTCCTACATAAACAAATTTTATTTTTAAAATTAATTATCTCTCTACTTAATTGCTTCATCTAAGTAATTAATGGTTGAAGAAAGAATAATTAATTAAAAATATTTTAAAAAAATAATAATGAATACATCTAAAAATTAGAAAATGATATTACATGAACAATTCGAAAGCCCCAAATTTGTTCCTCCTTTACTCTTCATTTCTTCTTTCTTGGTTGAAACTGAATCCTTTTCTCCTCTCCTTCTTGTTTTCTGAAGATTGAACTGAGGAGAAGCTAGGTTTTGGTGCTAAAAAGCTTGAAGTTTGGGAGAAACTCGGAGTCGTGTGGAAGGTGCTAAGTAAAGGTGTGGATTGCTTGCTGGAGGTACTAATATTATTTTTCTTCTTCTTTCTCTTCCCCGAAACTCGGATTCTTCTTCTCCGAGGTAAGGGAAGCTAAGGGGTTTGCATGTGGTGTTTTTGATGGTTGTTGAGTTGCATGTTGTGTTGTGTGCTGAAAATTTATGATTTCTTATGCTGGATCTTTTTGAATTGGTGTTTGTAGATGAATTTGGTGCATTTGCATGTCAGGTTTTGAGTGACAATGCTGAAGAACAAGTGGTTTCTGTCATAAGCGACTGAGCCCTTTTAAAGGGCTGAGCCCTTTGAGGGCAGTGTGCAAGAAAGCACTCTCTAGAGGTAAAGGGCTGAGCCGTTGGAAACGACTGGGCTCCTTGGGAAACGGCTGAGCTCTTTAAAAGGGCTGAGCCCTTTCAAGGCCGCAAGCCAGGGGAGAATTCATGGAGGCAAAGCGCTGAGCGCTTTGAAGGCACTGAGCGCTTTTGTGCTTTTAGAAATTGACTTTGTGGTCTTCATGAAAGTTGTAGCCTTGGATCTTAGCTTTCCAATGGCGCTAGAATGACTCGAAAAAGAGTTCTAGAACTCCAAATTTGGATGTTTTAGTGAACAGGGGTCAAGTGTCAGTATTAGTTATAACTACTGCAGTTTTTGTAAGTTTTGACAAAGTAGATGATGGAGTTATGAATTGATGTCTTCATAAGAGTTGTAGGAAATCTTCTTATATTTCATATGAGATAAGTATGAGCATGAAAGGAGTAGTATAACTCCCGATATGCTAATTTATGTGAAGGTTGCCATTTTTACAATGAGTGATCACTAGTGCAAAAAGAGGCTTTTACGTCACCTAAATGACGTCGAAAAACGGCACCACCGACGTTATAAAAACACGGTGGCATGTACCGTAATTTTGGTAGATTATTTACGTCGGTCCTAACTGGGTCCGACGTAAATTTTAACATCTAAGTAGACTACGTATTGTGTCCGAAGTAGATATTAAAATTTACGTCGGACCCAATTAGGGCCGATGTAAATAACCCATTAAAAGAAAGTGCATGTGCGTGCAGTAGCTATAGATTTCAAAAATTCACCTCCCGCGCGCAAAGGCTGAAGTGGTAGGGCCTTCCTCTTCTCCTTTAGAGTTGCTTTTCAGGGATTCATTTCAAGTTTTTCCTTCTTCCTCTTCAACAACTTAGATTTCTTCCCCCGTGCTTCTCGTTCAGCTTGGAACCACGAAGTTTACATATTCGAGGTTAGGGGATCCTACTATCTTGTTTTTCTATGAGGTAGCATCTTCTTTCAAGTTTGTGTTTTCTGGGATGTTTTTTTTGTAATAATGTTTGTGCTGCATTTCGAGTTTTTGAAGCTGCAGAAGGAAGTGACCAAGTCCGGATTTGAAGCTGGGTCTATCAAGCAGAACGGGCCGTTCTCCAAGCAGAACGGACCATTCTGCTTGCATTCATTTTTCTTTATTTTATTTTATTTTTATGACTTTTTTACGTCAGACGTTGTCATGTCCGACATAAATTTACATCGGTTTTTGCGCCTCGACGTAAATTTACGTCTCTCGCTTACCGACGTAAAATGTGTATTGTGTACTAGTGGATTTGGATAAGTTGAAGGTTGTTTTGGGTGCGCAGGTTAAGTCATGATGTATATGTTGTGTAAGTTGGCATGATAGATGAGTTGTAAACATGATGGGCGAGTTGTATTATGTGTTGAATATGTTGTATGTTGTGAAGTTGTTTACAAGTTGTGTGTTGATCTATTATATGTTGAACAGATGATATTGTTGAAGCATGTTGAAATTAAGTGATTAAAGTTGTTTTATGTTATGTGTTGACTAATTATATTTTGTGAAATATGATGAGATGATATAGTTGAGAGTTGTGAAGTACATGATGATAACGTTGTGAGTTGTGAGAAGCATGATGTGAAGTGTGTAGATGTATTAAGACGATACAAAAGTTATTAGTAGATTGTGTTGCTAAGTTGTTAAATGAGAGTTGTATGTTGTACTATGTGTTGAAAAGATATTAATTTGTGATGGTTGAGTTGTAAATTGTGAATTGAGTTATTAAGATGTTGAGCTGACTGTGTTGTTTAAAGTTGAAATGAGTTGATCATTGAGCTGATGAGATGATAATTGTGTTGCTTAAAAAGGAAATGAGTTGTTGAGTTGTTAAGATGTGTTGTTAAACAGTGTAGATGAGTTGTTGTGCTGAAAAACTGTGTTGTTAAAGTTGTGAGTTGATTGTGTTGTTCAAGTTGAAAGTTGATTGAGATGATGAGTTGAAAAGTTGTGTGTTGTTTAAGTTGTTGAGTTGAGCTATAATGATGAGTTGTTGATCACTAGGACTAGGGGAGATGTTTTCGAAGTTGCTCATCCCATTGTGTGGATCGAGAAAGCTGTGGTGCTTAGAGAGCCCAATTTGTTGAAAACCCTCCTTGGGAAGTTGTCCCTTGGAATGGAGGTTGTGTTGTTCTCCTCTAGGACTTAGTTGATCCCGTGTGTGGGCAAGGTCGAGGCACACATGTATAAAGCGATTATGTTATAAGGGTCAAGTCGAGCTATACCGATTACAAGCGGCCAATCCGAGTAAAGTACGAAGTCGGGAACTTAGTTCCTAACCGAGTATCGGAGGGTTGTAGTATTTGGAGGATAGTCGGTAGGCTAATCCCATAGGTAGCTTAGTTGAGCTAGCTAATGTCGTGGTAGGTCTAAACCCAGCTATTCTATCCTGACATAATACTATACTTCCTTGTTTAAGTGGTAAAGTCTGAGAAATCGTTATCGTGTTGTGGAGTGATATCCAAATTTGTTGTTTACCTAGCAAGCGCAAAAAGGTTATGTGTTGTCAGTTCGGTAGGACCTAGCCACTTAAGCTGCTCATCCATGTTGTAGGAAATCTCCAAGTTGAAATGCGTGACGACGCATAAGTTGTTGATGAGTTGATATTGTAATGATATAAGTTGAATGTGTTGATAAGTTGATATTGTGATGATATAAGTTGAATGTGTTGATGAGTTGATATTGTGATGATATAAGTTGAATGTGTTGATGAGTTGATACTGTGATGATATAATTTGAATGTGTTGATGAGTTGATACTGTGATGATATAATTTGAATGTGTTGATGAGTTGATATTGTGATGATATAAGTTGAATGTGTTGATGAGTTGATATTGTGATGATATAAGTTGAATGTGTTGATGAGTTGATACTGTGATGATATAAGTTGTATGTGTTGATGACTTTATATTGGGATGATATGAGTTATATGTGTTGACGTGTTGTGAAGGTGCTATTGAGATGTATGTTGTCTATGTGTTGTGTGTTGAACTATTTGATGATGATAGTGATGTTAAGTTGCTAGTGTTGTGAGTTATTTTCATATATATGTGTTGTTTAGATGTTGTGTGTTGTATGTTGAGCAAGTAAGATAATGATGATAGTGTTGTTATGATGTAAGTTGCTTTTAAACATGTGTTGTTGAGAGATGTGTAATACATGTGTTGGTTGTTGTGATGTATGGTAACTATTCCAATGGTTTGTACAGTAGTTGCGTTGAAGTGTTGATACTGTGGTGATATGTTAAATCAAGTTGAAATGATGTTAAGATGTATAGTATATGTATTGTTGTCTTCTATGTTGGATGTGAAGATAATTATATAGTTGATGTGTTGCATTTTTAATTATTATAAGTTGTTTATTGTCTCTAGCTTACCCTTGCATGTTTTCATGTGATTTGGACTGCGATGATCATACGATGTATGAGAGCAGGGCAGGGATAGGCTGGGAGATAGCTACTAGAGGCCACAAGAAGTGCCTGAAGTTGGATTTTTTTTTTGTTGACTACCTTATAGTAGCATATTATGTTGTATATAGCTAATCATTATTGGTTGCTTGATTTACAACTTGTGTTGTAATTATTTTATTATACTATTTTAGTATATATATTTCAGTAGTGTGTTGTGTTGTTCCGTAATGTGACGACCACGGCGGGTCGTTACACAATTAATTTTCTCAAGGAAAAAAATTTATACACAAAGATAAAGGTAATAAATTATAAAAATCAATTTTTTATTTGAATGAGATTTATCTCAATTCTCTTAAGTTAGACTTCGAATTCATTCAATCTTATAAATAAAAAATTATAATTAAGAGAAAAAATATTATTAAAAAAATAATCATAAAATTTTTCAACAAAAACTAATCATTAAGAAAATCAATAGTATTTTACATTAATAAGATAATTTTCATAATTTTTTTTATAATAATTATGTTTGATTTAATAGGATTCTTGAGGGTTTTTTCTTAAAAAAATTTAGCTCTAAAATTAAATTTTAATATATATATGTATATATATATATATTAAAATTCTCATTTGTTAAACGTATTTTTATATAAAAATATAAATTATTTATTATTATATTTTAAAAAAATTGATTTGATGACAACATTGAATACTTAAAAAAAAAAAATTAATTGAATCATTTAAAAATAGTTAAATTAAATTAAAATTTAAAAATAAATATAATTCAGTTAAAAAAAACGTGAAGATGAAAACATGGTCGGTGAAATTTTCTCCTATAAATTAATCATGAAAAAAATGAGTAAATTGATGATGATTGAATAAAGAGAGGGAAGAAGAAACGGATCTTAAGAAGGTGGAAGAAATACTATCAATGGGTGTATCTGTGCTAGATCTTCATGAAGTTCTCAAGTCCAAGAGGGTACCTTTTTCTTCGCTACTGCTAGGGTTCTCAATATCTCATTCTTTCTGCTTATACTCATTTTTAAAGAATTACTATCAATGGGTATTCTAATACTGCTTTCTTTTGACTCCCAGAGGTTGTTTCTACTCTCAATTTCAAACGTTTTAAATTTGGAGATAAATACTTTCACATTAGCTTCTCTTATTTGGTGATAATCATGGAAGAACATGATTTTGTGCTTTCAAATTCTTTGAAAAGGCTTTTGTGTACACATTGTGAAATATCTGTCTTTTTCTTTTCTAGAATAAATTCACGCTTCAGGAGGAAGAGATTTATGAATCTTGCACAACTAAAATTGCCAGTGATTTCTTATCTGGTGCACTTGCTGGCTTTACTGCTGTATGGTCAGGTTTGTCATTTCGGTATCCTTAATGATTGTGGTGCTTATGTACGATGTTCCAATGGATATTATTTCAATAAGTGAAATTTCTTGCTTTGGAACATTTATCTTTATCGTATTAAAAGTAATCTAACTGGTGACTAGTCCAAGCGCTGGTCACATAAGGTTGACTAAGCTATGAAAGAAAAGTTTTTCTTTCTTGTATTGCCTTAACATCTTGTTGGGGCCATTGTCATACTTCTTATTCCAGAGCTTCATAGAAAGCTTTATGCATATTTTATTTATTCGACCACAGTTAAAGCAGATTATCATTATTGCTGACTTCTTGGTTTGTATGATGATAACCATTATACCTTTTTGCAGCAACTTTTAAACTCAGTAAATTATTTCGACTCAGCCTTTCGGTAGGTAAGAGAAACCACCTGTTGTATCTTTATTTCTACAGTTCTACTAGGGCCTTCCACCCTTACCCTTGTTTGTTGTCTTATCCTTTTGAAGGAGCTGGTTATTATTATGCACTGAGGTTATCTTCTAGATCTTCCGATTCTTGTGCAGAACAGATTCTTGCAATGGATGGCAGTATGTTACAAAAGGAGTTAGCGAATATGTAGGTTTTCTCCTCTCAGTTGCTCACGTTTGGTAAACATTTTTGGTTTGTGCAATAAGTTCCAAGTACTATCTTATTCTCTAGTATTCTTGAGTAGGCTTTCAGACAAATGCTTCTTTTGTGTGACAAGATCAATGCCATTAGTGTCACTTCTTCTTTCTGAATAGAAGTATAAAGTAACTTATTAAAATGGAGGGGTACTGGCTGTCATTTCTGTTTTGCTGCCTCTCATTGATCGTAATGTCATGTTTAAATATTATGTAGACACTTACAGCCATAAATGACACTAATGGCACAATTATTCTAATTTCTATATTTAGGCAATCTAATTATATAAATTGAATGCACATGTTATATAGATCATAAAATAAGAATCATATTAATGACAGGGATCCTCTATTGACACTGGCTGCCTGTTTCAAATACGATCAAAGAAAGTTTAGGTTGCTTTGATAGGAATGATAATGAAGAGTTATTAGATGCAAGGAAAGAGTTATTATTTCTTATTAGAGGAATATTTATGGTAAGTTGAAAATGGGGTGATTGTTTTATTCATTCTAACTGAAAAATCTCCCGTTCTCCCATCAATCCACATATTAGTTGAAGATGCTACCGTTATCAGTCCAAACAAAATTGCTATTGGATTTAACTGATATCTTGAGGTGGTCTAGTTGTCAGTTTTTTTATATTTAAGAATAAGAATTTGACAACAGTTGAAGTTGTTCCAAATAATATAAAGATTTTTCCACATTTCCACATTTAAGTTTTCCACTTTTCTTAAGCATTCTAGTTTTTGTCTTGTTGAAGACCTTTGCCACCCTTTTCTTCTATTAGTTTTGTGCCTTCTGGCATTTGACAGAAATAGCTTTGGCCTCTGGTATCACTTGATAAAAAAATAAATTATTATTATTTTTTTTTTCCTTCTTCAATGTAAATAAACATATTAAACTGAAAAACGTACTATAAAATGGCAGTGCAAAGTGTAACTTGTATTAATTAAACCTATACAAAGAGCAGGAGCGTAAGTGGGGCTACAAAAGCAAAAGCCAGGATCCACATAAGCACTTTTAACTAAATTGACAGATGCATACAAGTAATCCTGAATTTGTTGTCGGTTAATTATAAAATATGGGAGTTGAGACCTGTTTTAACAAATCTGTTGTTGTAACCAGTTAATATTTTATACCTCTCAATAAGTGATTACTTTGCCTCAAATTGTGATTATCATCTTTGCACCTAGAACTGTCCGTGTCCCCTTTAAATTTTGTATCTCTCCAGATTGCTTTATCACTGACTACATTCCTAGCCTGGTAAGAAAAGTGGGGGCGATAAGGGAAGAAAAAGGATCTTCATCTCCTGTGGACGTCTATTTTAGCCTTATTTTTATACAGTTGAATTTATTTCTTTTACATATTTTGATTGTTGTTAAATGACAGAATGGTGACAAAATACCAGAATGATTCTTCACAAATGTGGCTTATGTCTAAGCATTTATACCTAGAGAGGGTTTTTGATGATTCAACGTCTAATAGTCCCAAATTAAGATGGAGATACCGGAATTTCTTTAGCGATAATGCAGTCCATGATCATCATTGGTTACATGATCATGAATCTTATGAGAACTCCCAAGACCACTCTCAAATTGATTCCAATGATAAATCCAAAGGCAGGTCTGAAAATGTCACTGGCACCAAAAGAATAAATCTTAAAACCAAGTGTACTTTTGTAAGTTTTCTTAAACTTCCCTGTTCTTTATTTTAATTAAATGAAATAGCTGCTTTTGACAAACTAAATCAACTTATTAATTTAGGAACAGAACGGCTTGGACTGTTCAGGGGGACACCAGGGGTCATTTTTTGCTTTGGCCATCTTGAATAAATGTCTTGGGGATGGGGCAATTAAACTTCAATTGTGCATGCTGAGAAAGTTACTTAGGGCACCTCCAATGGAGGTCCTTATTTTACATTTGCTTATTAAGCTCCAGTGCTTAATAAGATTTTGTCATTGGAGTTAGTGCTTATTAAAGACTCCTCAAACAGTAAGTGCTTGTATAAGCACTCTTCAAACAGCATGTTCTTAAAAATTGTGGATCCCATGTTCATGTATTTTTATGAAATAGTGCCTCTAGTATTAATGAATTCAATCAATTAAAAATTCAGTTGATTTCCGACCTACCAAATTAAGCAATTAGAATATTAGAATCTTATATTGGGCAAACTGAACTCATGGGTAGTTGATTTTAGTGCATACTTTATTTCCTTACTAAAAGGGTCCAACATAGTTGGTAGGTAATTGAGTTCTTTAAGCATGTCGAGAGGATTTTGATTATTTGGTTGCGTGTATGGAAAAAAACTTTTTTTAGAGATGTAAAACCCATTTTGATGATTTATATATCAAAAGAAATCATTCTTCGAGATATAATATATATATATATATATATATATATAAGGAGCGATTCATTTATTTTAGGAATAAGTCTATTTAAA